GGCTGAAACTTTTGAAGCGTAACCTACATGCAAGTTCGGTTCCCAATCCTCAAAATGGGCGCTGTTACCCACGTGGTTTACCCGTACGGGCCCGCCAAAGTTTTTGCTGGGTAAACTACTAACTCGGGAATCAGAGAAGCCAGAAAGCTAAAATTTTAAGGAGTGTTCCCCGTCCATGTAGAACTTGATGATTACAAATTCAACCACCAGGCATACCTGGTTCCGACATACTTACTCGTGAAAGTTTTTTACGAGTACGTTTCTGACTCGGAATAGAAGGCTGCAGTTTTAAGGGGATGTTCCTCTCCACGTAGGTTAATGAATTCAAACCCGGCCCTTGGGTATGCGTAGTTCCCATGTACAGGCCCGTAAAAATTTTGCATGTAAGTTGCTAACTCGAAGTCCTGAAAAGCTAGAAGGCTGAAATTTTAAGCGGATGTTTTCAGACAATCCTGGTGGCCAGTCCCAATTCTTTTAGCTAGAAGATTTGCCAGAAAACAGTGAGGTTAGCGACAAAGACTTGCGGGGAATTCTGCAAAAAAACATGTCTTTGCATCGGCAGTCGGTGCGCTGGCCATTTATTTACACAGATATCTCAAAAGGAGTGAGGACTGAGTGCGATATTAAAAGGAAATTCATTTTCAGAGTTTGATGAGGAGCAGTGCAGTAGTGCTGCTTCTGCTGCTCCCGCTGCCGATACAGAAGCTGATGGCACGAACGGTGACAGAACAAATGACGTGTCGCTTAATGAGTTATTGCAAGCGCCTCCGCCACCACCTCTACCTTTCATGAATAGAAAGATGCGTCGGCGTGGCTTCCATGACCCACCGCGTGCAGCCGAAGCCGATCTACAAAGTATTGCTGAAGTTGGACTAGTCAGTCCAGAGATTCAGGTTAACTTATTTTAAAAAGCAAATTGATTGCTTTTCAAAGCTTGTTCTTTTTCATATGGTGGGCAGGAAGTCAAAAAACTTCGCATCTCACAGTTGAAGGAACTCTTAAATAGCTCGAGCCGAGTAACAGCATTTGATAGTGAAATTTATTTGCTGCCAAATGGTGTCGACGACTTGCCTTCTGAAGCTGTTCATGGTTTTATTCCTTGACATATGTCACTGCCTGTCCGGGTGAACAAATGTTGGAGTGACTGATTGCCCTTCTGGCAGAGTCGAACCCTCGGCCTCTATTCACGACAGCAGCGCTGTTTGCCATATGGCCATGACTAATTGGATGTGGAATAATTATATGACTAGAAAAAGTGGTTGTTATCTGCTCCTTTTTTCGTTATTTTGGGTAAAGGATGATTTTTTCCGTTTTTCGTTTCATTTAAGTACGAAAAAAAAGCCGTACCATTTTTGCAACTCAGCCTATCGAATGATTGCCTATTGATGATTTTCACTGCTTCGTACTTTAGTATGTGCAAAAATAGTTGAAACATTGAAAAATTGTTAAAAATTTCACGCACCTGCGCATGAAAGCTGAATTCGAAACCTTGAAGAGTGAATACCTTTCCTCGATTCCCGAGTTAATAGTTTCCCCGCAAAAATTTCACAAGGCCGTAGGTGATACTCAGCAGCGCGGGAATGCTGAATTTGAATAGGTAAGGTTGAGCGAAGGCATGGGGTCATTACCCTAAAATTTCAGCTTCCTAGACTTCGTGGTTCCCGAGGTAATAATTTACCCGTAAAAAGGTTCACTAGCCTGCAAGTGGTGTCCAAGAGCGCGGGAGCGCTGGATATGTATTTGCAAGATTGTTCGTGGGCAAGGGGTCACAACCCTAAAATTTCAGCTTCGTAGACTTTGTGGTTCCCGAGATAATAATTTATTCGCAAAAAATTTCACTAGCCCATAGGGGATACCCGAGAGCGCGGGAACACTGAATTTGAATAGGAAGGTTGACCGTGGACAGGGGGTCAATTTCAGCTTCCTAGACTCCGTGGTTTCCGAGATAATAATTTACCTGTCAAAAATTTTCACAGGGCCGTACATGTTACCCGCGTGCAGGGGAAAGCTGAATTTAAACTTTCTGGGTAGCACACAGGCGGGGGACATGCCCGCAAAATTTCAGTCTTCTATCTTCCGTGACTCCCGAGATACTGATTTTACCTGAAAAACTTTTACGGGGCCGT